TCATTGTTCATCCTAAAGAGTCAGTATATGAATGGCGAGAGATGGGGAGAGAAGCACTCATGATTGTGCATCTCTGTTTTGATTACGATGGAAAGACAGTACCAACTGTGCAACCAATCGGAGTTCCTGATGTCACTGTCGGTGGATCCTGTGTTTTAAGCCCGAAAATAAGGATTTATCGAGGCCACTCTTGAGAATCTGTCTTAGACAGCAAGTCATGCGAATGCATGTGCCAGGTCCAAATTGTTTCGATCATCGACAAGCTGATCCTGTCTTAGTTGCCGGATTTTCTGGCTTCGGTACTGCTGGGATAATTTGCACTGTGCTTTCTAATTGGAGGAGGCTTTGCATTCATGAACCAAAAAGGGATCCCCAATTTATGACGAACTAATCCTGCCAATTTAGGCACTTTAATGCATGGCATAACCGGACTCGGTTCGAGACAATAATCTCTCGTCAAAAGGCCTTCAAAACTGGGAAGAACGGCCTGCCTTATGTAACCCCTTGGTCAGACGGGCTGACACAAGAGCAATTCTTCAGTGCCCAATTTGACGGGTCTTGTTCAGTCCAACTGATGTCACCAAGACGACGAGGTCTGTGTCAATATAGAAGAGGATCATGAGAAGGGAAAAAGTAGAATCATCTCTAGCATTTGTATCTTTTGCTACTCCAGCGATGAAGTTTAATGTTATTGTTCGTTTTTTTTCTGGTACGCTGGTTAGGCGCATTATTCGAGCAGTCCATGTGGTGTCGGAGGATATCATGTTTGCTTTTAGACACGCACGACATTCGTTCATTCCTCAACGAGGTGGCATAGCAGAGCCAAAATAGGTGCCTTCATAGATCACGAATTAGGAACGTTTTTAGTCACCATATCATAGATTCCAGGATATAGCTTCTCTGTAATTTGGTAAGCCGGAGAAACGTCTAGGAATATATCAACTCCAAACTCCGATACATGGAATTATCATTATTAAGATAGAATAGAACTTCAGAAAAAATAAGTCCACTCAGGTTTCCTAGACAACATTAACAAGTATAGAAAGCGAAGGCAGGTAACTGCTATATTCAGAAGCATTCCATATTTGGTACAGACTATGAAAATCTATCGTGGCATAAGTCATGCTCAGTCGATGGGTTTGGCTTGTCCTCCAAGTTGAGGTGACGTGGAGAAAGAGAAGCGATCGGAGCCAGCATGCAACCGATTGGAGAGATCTTCGGATGAAATGGACGTATGGGATCTCTTAGAATACTCGAAAAAGGTCAGTGCAACCAATTACAAGACTTCCGTCCAACT